TGGCCGCTCCCAGGGCACGGCTTGCTGTAGTTTGGTGGACTTTGTCCTTCTCATCTCAGGAGTACTACGGCAAAGAGCTGCAGAAGTTGGAGGACCTGAAAACCAACGCTTGTGTCACCTCAGCCAGGCCCCTTGCCAAGGCAGTGAGAGATGCTCTGGAGCGTGTCCACGAGGAGGTGGTGGCCAGGTGAACCCCAGGGTCTCTCCTCCGCTGCTGCCTCCCTGTGGGCTGCAGCCCCCCAAACCCCACACCATGGTGGCACTTCCACCCAGCTCAGCTCCACATCCCCCCAGGTACTATGGCTGCCGTCTGGTGATCCCTGAGTGCCTGATGTCCTGCCGGATCCTGGACCTGGGCAGCGGCAGCGGCAGAGACTGCTACCTGCTGAGCCAGCTGGTTGGGGAGCGGGGCCACATCACTGGGATAGACATGACCGAGGGCCAGGTATGGCACGGAGCTGGCGGTTCCCCTTGTCCCCCAGGCATCCCCCCACCATCATTCCCATCCTTCTCCCAGGTCGAGGTGGCAAGGAAGCACATTGCCTACCACATGGATAAGTTTGGCTATCAAAAGCCGAATGTGGAGTTCCTCCAGGGCTACATGGAGAAGCTGGGTGATGCGGGGCTGGCTGATGAGAGCTACGATATTGTCATGTGGGTATCACACAGGGCACTGCCACCCCTGGTCCTGCTGCTGCCTGGGGCCATGGGGTGGGGTCTGGAGTCAGCATCCCACCAGGTTGCTCACTTCAGGAGCACACATTAGGAGAGGGAAAAAACCCAAAGCAGAGTCTGGGCCAGAGCCTGGGAATATAGAAACTGCCCTTTTCATGGTCAAATTGACATCTCCAAATCCTGCATGAAGTGGATGTGCAGCAGCTGGTGGTGCTGAGTGTGTGAGAGGCTGCAAATGAGTCCCAGTCTCCTCCTCCCCAGCTCCAACTGCGTGATCAACCTCGCCCCTGACAAGAAGGCTGTTCTGCAGGAGGCCTACCGTGTACTGAAGGTAATGTCGTGGCCCATCGGGGGAGTGGAGCAGGGCTGGGGTGGCTCTGCTGCTGGGGTGCTGCTGGGATGCAGCAAATGGGACCCAGGCAGGGGGGGCTGCAGGATAGGGCCAGGGGAGGCCACCTCCCCAGGGCGTCCCGCAGCAGAGGGGTGGCATTGGGGCGTGCTCAGTTCTCCCTGCCCCTTTTGTCCTGTTGCTTCCTGGAGTCTCCCTTCACTCCTCGCTGCTCTCCAGCCTGGGGGAGAGATGTACTTCAGCGACATCTATGCCAACCAGCGCCTGAACGAGGCCGTCCGGAAGCACAGGGTGCTGTGGGGTATGTAGGGCTCCGGGATGGGGGTGGCATGGGGTGTGGGGACCAGACCTTTGCCTCCATCACCCGTGTCTGTGCATCGCCGAGGAGGTGGGGTTCAGCCCCCCATGCCTGGTCACCACCAGCCCTATCACCATTGGCAGCAAGGAGCTGGAGGACATTGTTGGTGAGGCTCCAACCAGTGCAGCTGTGGGGGAGCTGTGCTGGGATCCCCGGCTCTGCTGGCTCCCAGCCCAGGTGCTCGATTCCCAGCCTCTCACTTGCAGGGGATTGCCGCTTCGTCTCTGCAACCTTCCGCCTGTTCAAGGTGCCAGGGAGCAGCCGGACCGGGCCAGGACAGGTCATCTACAATGGTGGGATTGTGGGGCACGAGCGAGAGCTGGTGTTTGATGCCAACTTCACCTTCAAGGTGCGGGCTGGGGCTCCCCAGGATGCCAGGCAGTTCTGGTCTGTAGGGTTGGGGATGGAGCAGAGCTGATGAAGCAGTGCTGCTCAGCAGCATCCTCTGTGATTTTTGGGGGTAAGCTTTGGTATAGGGGGTGTTGGGTGGGAGCTGTATAAAGCAGAGGAGCGGCAAACGGGGGCAGGAAAGGGAAACAGACCCATGCATTGCATGGGTGGGAGCAGGACATTTATGGTGGCTTCACAGTGGGGTTTGGGGCCAGCTGCTTGGTCTTTGTACATGTTTCTCAACACACAGGCTGTGCCCCTGCTTTTGCTACCCCCATCATCTTGCTGAGTGGCTGGGGTCCCCTGTGCCATGTATCCTGGGCCCCAGCCCTGTGACTGTCCCTCTACCCCCAGGAAGGAGAGGTGGTGGATGTGGATGCTGAGATGGCTGCGATCTTGCGGAGCTCCAGATTTGCAGAGGAGTTCCTGATCCGAGCCAGCGGAGCCAATACTGCCTCACCACAGGGCTGCTGCAGCAAGGGGGTGAAGGTCGGTGCCAGGCAGCTCCAAGGCCGGGTTCAGGGGTGAGGACATGTGTGTCCTGTGCCATCAGGGTTGTCCTGGGGTTTCAGAGGGGATGAGGCATGACACCAAGAGACCTGAGGGTGGTGCCTGGTGCCTGAGTTTGGGCAACTGCACCCCGGCGCAGGCTGGAGCCCTCCGGGGGGGGTGTTTGCCCTAACCAGCATATGTGAGAGTCCATCGCCCCCCACACACATCCATGGGGGCTGCTGAGGCTGACAGCTGGCCCTGCCTGAGGTCTTGCAAGGGGAGGCATCCTTCCCCCGGGAAGATGGTTGGGGAGAGCCTGCCCCAGGGAGGGGATGGCCCATCCCTGCGGCTCCTTCTTGTCCATCACTCTCCCAGCACCTCCCAGCTGCTGATGTGAGCTTGGCCCGGGCTGCCAGCTCTGACCCTGCAGCACAGAGCACCGCTATCTGCTGGAAGCTTCTCCTCCCCTTGGTGGTCCCTCCAGCCTGTAGATGGGCCAGGAGGGGCAAGGGCGATAACTCCCTGCAGCTGCGTGTCCCTGAAACACAGCCTTGTACTTGGTGAGAGGGAGATGTTCTTGTGTCACGGTCCAGGCAAGAGGCATTTCTCAGATAAAAGCAGAGCCAAAGTGCCAGAGAGGCTCTTGGCTTCTTCCTCACGGCAGGGAAAAGCAGATGGAGTGACCCGGGGGCTGTCCTCACTTTAGCTGTGGAGGGTCTGCGTGGGCTGTCCCACTGGCAGGGAGCGAGTCGGGGGGGAAATGCCGCCTTCCTGGGGTGCCTCCTGCTTCCCTCTGGCCTGATCCTGCCCAGGGTTTTTCTCCACCCTCCAGGAGAAGATCTGCGATCCCTTCCAGCTGCTGGAGCGGCTGCCAGCCCCGGGGCCTGCCGCCCCCGGGTCCTGCCTGCCATCCTGGTGGCACCTGTGGTCCCCCGGGGTGCTGCTGAGTGTTGAGCAATGTCCCCACACCGGCGGATGCCAGCGGGCAGGAGGATGCAGCCCCAGCAGCATGTGGTTTCCGCCGGAGAGCAAATAAATGTCTGAGCTCAAAGGCTGTGCGCTTGCAGCCTCTGGGGTCTGTGCTTTCCTGCTGGGGCTGGTGGGGCAGGTTGTGCCCTGTTACAGTAAGGGCAGGCAGCTGTCCTGGGGGTCACCTTGCTTTGGGGCTGTCAGCGGCCACATGGCTCTGCCGCGTGGGCAGGGATGGTCTCTGTGGGAAAGGGGTGGTGGGTTCTCTGGCATAGGATGGCAGGTCTGGCGTGGGTTTGGCAGCAGATGCCTGCTGGTTTTGAGCCCACAGAGCAGATGGAGACATTTGCAGAAGGCAGCTTGGCAGAGCAGGGTGCGAAAGGAGGTCCTGACCATGCAGCACGCGCCCCTCTGCGTGAGCCCAGCTCCAATTTGAGTCTTTGGGAGCCTGCAGCTGAGACACAAATGCTTCTGAGAAGCAAAAGGCACAGCAATAAGCAGCCTGCTTGCTTTTCCCCCTTCTTTTGATCTCCCTCTGCTAACCCTGCACATGCAGGGAGCTGCAAGCATCCTCCAGGCAAAGTCCACACCAGCTCCCAGTGGTGAAGTGGGCAGCTCAATAATGTATTTTGCAAACGAGCAGGTGAGAAGGTCTGGTCAGCTGCTGGGGGCTCAGCCAGGCTGGCTTTTCTATGAAGAGCTCAATGTGGCACACGGGGTGCGGACGGATGTCCCTGTTATTTGCATTCAGGACGGGAGATGCCCCAAGCACAGCTCCCTGAGCCCTGTCTCGCTTGCAGCCCCACAGCCTGATACAGGAAACAAGGATTTCTCTCCTGTCCCCTGTGCATCGCCGCTGAGTTTTGTATTTTTCCCCAGACTCCATCTAGCAGGAAAGCCCCAAGTGTCCTGCCAGTATCACACCTGCAGAGTTTTTCAGGGAAATGCAGCGATTCTGGAAAACCAGAAATGCAGCCAGCCCCATCCCGCCGAGGGTGGGGAGCAAGGACTTTGAGGCTGTGGTGGGCAGTGGTGGGCTGCGCCCTTGCCACCCTGTGCAAGTCCTGTGTGCCCTGGCCGCAGGGGCTGGCTGGGAGGGACTGGGGGCTGCTGAGCAGCAGTGGCACCCAAGCCCCCGGCTGAGCGGCTGAGCTTAGAAACTCCTGAGTGTTGCCACCCCTCCTCATGCAGTGATTTTCCAGGAAGGACCAAAATCCCCCTCTCTGTCATTTAAACAGCATCCTGTGTCCCCATCAGGTTGTACATGTACAAGAACAGATACACTTGGAATTTTTTTAATAGATGAGAGCCAGCAGTGCTGTGCAGGAAGGAAAGCTTTTGCTGGTACCCTCTGAAGGACGGTGCATTCAAAGTCCTTCTGGATTAAAGTATTTTACCCTGTAGAACTGAGGACCGTCTCACAGCTCCCATCCACCTCGCTGTGACATGGCCTCACACAGAAAGGCACCCTGTGGTGTCAGTCCTCCATGGCCATCTCCAGGCTTGTGGAGAAGAGTTAATTACTGACCTGAAAATGAACAGTTGCCTGGTACATCATCATCTGAAGATGTTTTCTTTGCATGAACAGCGTAGGGTGCCCATCAGTGATTCGGACACCCAGAGCACTGCAGGGGCAGCCTCCTGAGCTTGCAGGTTAGTGACTGGTAACTGAGTGGGAGAAAAGTTGGAATTCATAGAATCATAGAATCATTAAGG